ATCAAATGCTATATCTACTTACTAACGCACTTCTGATAGCAAGATGAATGGAGTTGTACCAAAGATTTTATTGATTCTGTGTGGATATGGGAGCCCAAGAATGCTGGGAATATTTTAAGGAAGTTATTTTAAAGATGCAGGAGCTGAACATCCCCAAGTCACAGAAAATGAGCCAATGGGCAAGGAGGCTGGACTGGCTGAACAGAGATCTTTGGCTGGAACTCAAGAGCAAAAGGAAAGTTTATGGTCTTTGGAAGAGTGAGCAAGCTACTTATGGTGATTAAAGTACATAGTGATGCCGTTCAGGGAGAAAATCCGAAAAGCCAAAGCCCAGCTAGAACTGAACTTGGCCACTTAGGTAAAGGATTACAATAAATATTTCTATAAATACGTCAACAGTAAGAGGAGGGCTAGGGAGAATCTCCATCCCTTGTTGGATGCTGAGGGATGTCCCGGCAGACTGCAGTCTGGCAAATGTGACGCCCATCTTCAAAAAGGGCTGGGAAGGTGACCCTGGTAGCTACAGACCTATCAGTCTTACTTCAATGCCAGGGAAGATTATGGAGTGGATAATCTTGGGAGCCACCATGGACCAATTAATGGTCAACCAGGAGATCAAGCCCAGTCAGCATGGATATTTATGAATGGTAGATTCTGTTTGACAAGCCTGATTTTGTTCTATAAAAAGGTGACCTGCTCAGTGCATGAAGGCTGTCAATCTGGTCTACCTGGACTTCAGTAAAGCCTTTGACACCATCCCCCACAACATCCTCATGGAGAAATTGACTGCTCACGGTTTGGATGGGTGTATGCCCTGCTGGGTGAAACACTGACTGGATGGCCAGGCCCAAGGAGTTGTGGCCAATGGAGTTAAATCCAGTTGGCTGCTGGTCATGAGCAGTGCTTCCCAGGGCTCGGTACTGGGGCTGCTTTTATTCAACATCTTTATTAATGGTCTTGATGAGGGGATTGAGTGCACTGTCAGTAAGTTTGCAGACAACACCAAACTGGGAGGGAGTGTTGATCTGCCTGAGGGAGAAAGACACTACAGAAGAACCTGGATGGATTGGATCGATGGACCAAAATTAACTGTATGAGTTTCAGTAGCACCAAGTGTCGGGTCCTGCTTTTTGGTCACAACAACCCCAGGCACCCCTACAGGCTTGGGAGGAGTGGCTGGAAAGCTGCCTGATGGAAAGGGAGCTTGGTGTGCTGATGGACAGGGGGCTGAATGTGAGCCCAGGTGGCCAAGAAGGCCAATGGTATTCTGGCTTGTGTCAGGAGTGGTGTGGTGAGCAGGACTGGGGAACTCATCCTGCCCTTGTACTCGGCATCAGTGAGGCTTTAAACTAGAGTAATGTGTTCAGCACCTCAGTACAGAAAGGACATGGAGGTGCTGGAGCAGGTCCAAAGAAGGGCAACAAGGCTTGTGAAGTACTTGGAGAATATGTCCTACTAGGAGTGACTGAAAGAACTGGAGCTGTTCAGTTTGCAGAAAAGGAGGCTGAGGGGAGATCTTATTGCTCTCTTCCAATATCTGAAAGGTGCTCACAGGGAGAGCACGGTTGGTCTTTTCTCTGGTCTTTTCTCTTTTCTCACCTGGTGACAGGTGACAGAACAAAGGGAAATGGCCTTAAGTTGTGCCAGGGTGAGTTCAGGTTGGATATCAGGAAACACTTCCTTTCAGAAGGGTTGTTAAGCACTGGAATAGGCTCCCCAGGGAGGTGGTTGAGTCACCACCCCTGGATGTGTTTACAAACTGTTTGGATGTGGTGCTCAGGGACAGGATTTAGCAACTAGGGTAGAATGGTCAGGTTGTGTTTGAACTTGATAATCTTTAAGGTCTTTTCCAACATAAGCAATTCTATGATTCTATGATTACTTGACTGGCTTAATGGGATGTGTCTCATTGAGGAATACTTTTGTCTGCATGTCAAAGGCACAGGCAGGTAATGCAGACCAATGTACATAAGCAAACTGAATACCAGAAAACATATTCCACAAACACATTGAGTGTAGATTCCACTGAGTGACAAGTAATGAAACAAAAAGAAATTAAAGGAATAGATGTTTCAGGTCCTATTTGAATCTAATCACAAAATAAGCACTAGAGAATTCTTGGACGAGATTTCTGGACTGCAAAGATTTTCTGATAATTTTGCAGAACAAACCCTCATTCCTTTTTCAACTCTTTCAGAAGATTTAAGATTTTTATGGCACAAGAGATGAGACAGAAAATTGGGCCATCAATTCTCTGGCTATCTACTGTCCCCTACCAGTGGTCATAAATCAGTGAAAAAACACTGCTTAAGGAAAATACATGCTTAGGTATCCACTTAATTGATACTTAAGGTCACTACAAAGACTCCCCATCCCCACCAACTACTGATAGTATAGGCCCTGACAGAACTACATCCTTTAGAAACTCTAGTAGCACATTATTGTCATAAACTACACACTAAAAAATAATGGGTTCAAATCCCTATGATTCTTAATTTTATTTTATTTTATTCATTCTTTGTCCCTCTCTTATGTTACTGAATGTGTGCTCTCAGGCAAATATTGTAAGCACACGACATTGCCTTGAAGTTCCATGAATTCTGATGTATCTGTGTCTCATGGTAGCTAAAATCTTGTTTTTAAATATTTTAAATATTTGAAATTCTGAGACTTCAGAAAAGGCATGATTTTGCACAGGATTTATTAATTCCCAGTTATAGCCCCAAAGGGACTCATAACACAACTTCCATTCAATCACTGATCTCATATTTTATTGTGCTGCACAATCCAGAATTTTTATTTTAAAAGGAAAGAAAGTAAACAAACAACAGAAATGAAACCAAAATAACCCCCCAAAACACATAACAGAACAACAAAAAAATACACATCAGTCCTCAGTACTTGTTATACCCTTGGCATAGCTTATTCTACAACTACACAGCCAGTTTATGCGTCCTACATTACATGTGTCCCATGCTGTAAAATCCCAGATCTTCCTTTGACTCTAAGATGGCTCTTTACCTCAAAAGATTTTTATTGGGCAGATGACAAAAGCATCACTTCTTACAGTTACATGAAGATTTTGGAATGCGACTCTACTGAATCCCTCTAAATACACCTTAAAAGAACATTCGAAACAATGGAGTCAGATAAAAGATATCTTGTGCAAAAATATAGAGAGTTTCAACCCTTTTAGAAAATATCATTATTTTTCTGATACTTTTTGTTACATGGGGAAGACTACAAAACCTACAGAAGCATTATAGAAATTTGTCTCAGAAGATTCATTTTGGTTGTGGCATTTGTTTTGTATTACGCCATCCTCCTGGATGGTGCTTCACAATGCTAGAAATTGGTTCTGACTCTTTAAGATATGTGATGCTGTGTTTTGGACCTATATGCGTAGTATAATAGATAGTTTAATGGTATAAAGCCACTTAACACATAAAGATAGACCAATCTAAAACAATACTACAGAGTTTTCAAACACCAGAAATGAGGATCCCCATGAAAATCAAAACAGCACAACAAGCCACACAGTGTTAAAGTTCACACGCATACACACAACAGTTGAATAGCACTAATATATCATTGAAGTGTTAGACAGATCTGTTGGGTAATAGCTTATTAGATGAGAATGACTAAGCAACAGCAACAGCAATGGAAAAAAATCTACTTAAACTGTAACACTTAAATGCAAGTGAAGCAAAACAATATATTTATCATTTATTAACAAAAAAAAAAAAAGAATCATTCTTATCAGTTAGATCAGTAGCATTTTCAATTTGCAGCTTGGAACTATTTTACAAATTTTCATGCTTTTGAGCCCACTTTAATGTATTCTATGGAAACACGATTGTAAAAATTTCCTTTGGCTACATTTGATATGCTTTCATTATTTAATCTTTTTAAGTCATGCATCATACTCTCCTTTGAAGAATTTACTCAAATATGATTAAAAACCACTTTTGAAAGCCAACTTTGACTTCCTCAAGACCAACTTGGAGGCATCCCATGAGTTAGAGCTCTGGGAGGTTGAGGGGACCCAAGAGAGCTGGTTGGCATTCAAGCACCATTTCTACCAAGGTCAAGATTGGTGCATCCTGAAGAGAAAGAAATTGGGGCAAAGGTGCCAGAAGACCCATATGGATGAGCAAGGAGCTCATGGAAAAATTCAAATGGATGAAGAAAGTTTGTGAAATGTTGAAAATGTGTCTAGTCACTTGGAAGGAATATTGAAATGTCAGGATTTGCAGGATTGTGATGAGAAAGGCTAAGGCCCATGTAGAATTACATCTGATGAAGGAAATAAAGGACAAAAAGAAAATGTGCTTTAATAATCTGGTAGCCTTCTGTGATGTCGTGACTAGTTGGGAAAATGAGCAGACAGTAATGGTTGCAGCGTATCCTGACTTCAGCAAGGTTTTAGACACTATTTTACATAGTAGGAAAACTTGGGATAGATGAGTGTACAGTGATGTGGACTGTGAACTGGCTAAGTGGTAGAGTTTTGAAGGCTGTGATTGGTGGTGCAGAGTCTAGCTGGGGGCCTGTAGGTGGCAATATTCCTGTGAGGTCTGTATTGGATCTGGTTTTATTCAACATTTCCAGCTACCAAGATTGTTGTAAAATAAAAGAGAATGTCAGCAGTTGTTTCCCATGAAATCTCATTTGTCTCTTCCGATTGGTTTGATATATCTTGGTGGAGAACGATTCATTACTATGCAAATTGAGATAACCTCTGTTTCTAGGCTAATTGTCATATAGCAGTTTACATCTGAAATACACTTGGTAATTTTCAAGCCAGACCAATCTTACAAGCCTAAATTATAGGGGAATTAAAATGGGACTTTCTATGCAAACTGTTTTGAAATGTCTGTGTCCTTTCTGTGATACCAGAGATATTCACATATTATGTGATTCCACAGATAAGTCCCAGACTGTTGGGTGTTTTGGCTGACAAACCAGCTTCTGTTTGTTATATATTGAGTAACACATACAGGGATTTCGGTTGACATTGATGAAACTTTATCTAGGCCAGTCATGTACAGCTTACAGCCCACGGGCCACATGTGGCTCCCTGTTGTGCCATCGTGGTAGTAGCTCTTCCACACCAAGCAGCCCAGCCTGGCCCTACAAAGAGAAATACTGGATAAAAGAAGAGTTTTCAATGAAAAATGGACAGACAAGTACTTTTTCTATAGACAACAACTATATGGCACTCTGCTTAGTTTGGAAGGAAAGCATGTCAGTTTTCAGAGATTACAACTTCACATTATACACAAAAACATGCTGCCAAGTTTCATGCATACCAAATGCTTCATAAAGACAAAATAGCAGAACTGAAAAAAGTTTTCATCTCAACCAATTAAAAAAAAACACAACATTAGAACTCAAAAGGATTCTATTATAAAAGCTGGCTATGTGGCAACAAAACTAAAAAAAAATAATAAAAATCAAACCATTCAGTAATGGTGAATTTATTTAGCAATGTATGGAGTGCACAGCAGATGTGATTTATTCAGGTACAAAAATTGATTTTTCTAAAATTAGTTATTTTCACCAAACTACAGCTGAGCAAACTGAAGAAACAGGGTGCTTTGGCAATAGATGAATTTACTGTTGTTAGAGATACAGCTTAACTTTCCATTTATATTAGAGGTATTGATAATGAATGCAATGTCACTGAAGAAATGCCTTCTTTGGCATCATGAAAAGATACAACTGATTCCCTTGATTTGTATGAAGTGGTAAAACTTACATTAAAGAGATTTTCTTTAACTTTCATCAGCATACCTTTTATAGCTACTAATGATGTCCTGGTCACAGTTGAGAAAGAGAGACTTTTAAAATTAATAGAAGACGATGCAATTGCCACCAGCAAATCATGTTTGATGAAATGCCATTGAATTGTACATCAAGAAAATCCTTATGCAAAAGCTTTAAAAATTGATAATATCTTACAAGTCATCATCAAAGTTGTGAATTTCTTAGCATCTAAGGGATTGAGTAATTGCCAATTCCAGGAGTTCCTTAAAAGTATGGATGCTGATCATGGGAATATATTTTACTTTTCTGAAGGAAGGTGGCTTAGTCAGGATAAAATGCTAAAAAGATTTTATAATTTGCAAAATGAAATGAAGTCATTTATGGAGTCAAAAGGAAAATTTGTGCTAGAAAATGAAGATTATAATGGCTCATGGATTTGATATTTTTGGTCGATTTGACCACTTGCTTTAATGAGTTAAACATGCAGAGTGAAAGTCAACCTATCTTTTTCAAACCATAATAGTACTTAAAATGAAACTTAAGTTATGGCAAGCTCAAGTCATGGCAAATAATTGCATGCATTTTGATGCACTAGCTAAATGCAGTCCCTTGCTTTCTGTTTTGTTAAATAATTTGAAAATAGGTTTCAAGATTGTGGAAAAAATCAGTTTCTTTCCATATTTGTAACTCCATTTTCAGTTGCAACAAAAATATTTACGTGCAAATTTTTGAAAGGAATGTAGAGAATTGCAATCAGACATTCAACTCAAATTAAAATTTGATCATGTCTCCTTAATAGACTTTTATAAGCCCTCTCCTATCAGAGAAAAATATCCCTCTCTTCCCTGTCACTCCTTATTCACATCATTGCTTTTTGGCAGGATGCAGATTTGTGAAAATTACTTTCAATGATGAACTCCAGGAAGAGTAGAATTTCATAAAAACTATTTGACAGACACCTTGAGAACTTACTGAGAATTGAAACTACTTCAAATGAGCCAAACTGATGCACTAGTTTTGCAGGGTCAAATATCTCACTACTTCTATGCTTTTGTTGCTTTCTTAAAAAAATATTTTTATAAAAAATATTTAAAAATCCATACAATTTTTTACTTGTATATACTAAGTACATTTTTGAATGTTTTTAGATACATTTCATATGTAACTCAAGACAATTCATCATGCAGTCTGGCCCAGGCAAGCCAGAATGCTGGACACCCATTGTGTAGAGAGAACAATGCAAACAAGTACAGAAGACTTCAATAAAAAAGTGGTAAAAAGCAATGTAATTTTGACAGGAGAAATACCTAGTAAAAGACAATGAAAACTGAAGTTAAATATCAGAGAAATGTTTTGTTTAAATACCCTAAATCTTACTGGGATTTATTACTTATTTAAAAGTCAAGTTACAAAGAGGTCTTTGGATAGAGTATGCTGAAGAAAACTGTCCACTGGTCTTAACACTGGAAGGTGAGTAATAAGAGGATTCCTTCCTTTTTGGTGAATCTACAGGAATGCAATTAACTGAGGCACAACACAATTAATATAATAAATGATTGATGGCTTGCTTGAAAACTCAGTAACGATGACAATTCCTAGCCCTTTCCTTTATTCCTGAAGTAAGGCTAACCAATGATATTTTGCCTTTTGTCATGTAAATCACATACTGCAATATTTTAAGTAATATTAACAAAAACATTTGTAGAACATCAGCCCTCTGCTGGATGGCGTTACAGTTGTGCTACTACATGGTAAAACCAAATACAGCAGTAAAATACACACTGTTAAGCTAGTAAGTTAGCTGTCCTTTACAACGTACATGAAAAATTATTTTTTCATTTTAGTTTACGTTCTTTGATCTCTATTTCAAATACTAACCTAAAACCAATCCACAGGGGACCAATGATTTTATTATTAATGTAGTTCAGTAATAGACTGCAACATTTCCTGTACAAAAAAACAAAACAAAACAAACAAACAAACAAAAAAAGTCAGAATGATACAGTACTGTTCATTTGAAAAAAAAAGAAAAAAGAAAAAAGAAAAAAAGAAATTGATTTAATCCCTCAGTCCATCAAACAGCATGTCATGGTTTAATGGTTCATCATTGATATTCCATATCATAATATCATGCAGTGTACTGGGAGGAAAAGAGTTAATGCTGCAGTTCTGTGGATTGTCTGAATTTCCAGTCTCTTGCTCTCAGAAGAGAAGAATGAACTTCCAGAAGACTTCATTTTTCTGTTTTTGTTTTCCATTTGGAGGGAAAAATAAAACTGTCTGGGAGTCACAAGGCTGCCCTCTTTTCTCTTTGCTTCCTGACCCTTTCACCTACAGCAATAGAGTAAGGACTCCAGTTTTGGAAATCCTCTTTCACATTTTATTTTATCAGCTTCAGTTCCAATCATATTGTATTATACTGTGTTATCTCACATTCCGCTACTATATTTAGTAAATTGAGTTTTTCCTTACCTCACTGCCACCGTTTTCTTTGTCCAGACCCATTTCCCTACCTTGTCCCACTCCCTCCCCTTTGCCATGGCATGGGTTTGTCGGTCACAAAACCAGGCAGAAACAGTGACACAGCACAATGCTTAGTGATGATCAAACAAATCATAGTCTGAACTGTGTAAGATCATAGACAATATTTGTTCTGAACACAAGGATTGATTTAGAAATAGAGCATGCTACTATTGGCTTCTCGAATAACCTTATTTATGTGCAATGAGAACTTGAGACAGGGGAAGAACAAGAAGTCCTTTCACCAGTTAGATGAAAAGTAAAAAAAAAAAAAAAAATTCAATAACTAAATCAGAACAGCAGCTGTATCCTACTGGAACAAAGGAATTCTGCTTTCACTCAGAAAATATAGGTAAGGAAATGGCGAAGTTCATAAATCAAGGAAAAAGTCTAAAGATTGCTGAGCAGATAGGAATGGAAACTAGTGCAGCTGACAAAGTCTCTTACAATGACTGCACTGTTTAAAGCTCACATTTCATTCAATTTTCATGAAAATATGAAAAGCAAGGGTATTAAATGGAAAACCGGTTTCAGAGAAGTGTTCTCAATCATAAAGAATTAACTAAAATACTTGTTATTTTTAAGGAGATTCAAAAAGCTAGAAATATTGAACCTAGAGAAGGCTGCAGAGTGACCTCTCTGCATCCTTTCATACCTAGAGGGAGCCTACAAACAGGAGGAGAGTCAAGTCTTTATAAGAGTAGATGACAGCAAGACAATGGAAAATGGTTTTAAGTTGAAGGGGGGAAGATTTAGGTTGGATATCAGGGGAAAGTTCTTTACCAACAAAGTGGTGAAGTGCTGGAACAGGTTGCCCATGGAGGTTGTGGATGCCCCATCCCTGGAGGCATTCAAGGCCAGGTTGAATGGGGCCCTGGGCAGCCTGGTCTGGTATTAAATGTGGGGGTTGATGACCCTGCTTGCATTGGGGGATTGGAGCTTGATGATCCAACCCAAGCCATTCTGTGATTCTGTGATACAATTCTATGAAATGGTGTAGATGAATGCAGAGGCCAGTATGGAGGTACCATAAGGAAGTGTTTCATTTCCTAGCCTGCAGCACTTTACAGATGATCAAGAGCAAAGGGAAGATGGAGAATGTATGGGGTAGGCATTTGAGGAGGGATTCACATATGTGAAACTTCTATGGCACAGTTTGGTGCTGCTAGGGTATCATACAGCACATGCATGTATACATATAGATATTAATAACTGAAATGATTTGCTGAGTTTTAAAATCTACAGAGAATGCCAAGAAAATATAGCTGCAACGTCTTCAGAAATAGAAGATCAGTTTGTTTTAGCTGAATATTTTATTTTCTTGTTTATTCTACCGTTCCATTTATTTCTAATTCAGAAAAAGTGAGATTACATTTTGATTTTGTTTCAAAGTTTGAATTATTCATTTCTGCCATGCTTACTGCTCGAGTTCTGCACTGCTTCCTCATCCACCTGCTCCTATCCCACTCCATGCTCCATCCTATTATGCTTCTCTAATAATCAACCCACTGGAGTGTAAGGACACACGGGACCTTACAAGGGTGGTCTTCAAGCATTGGCTATTGTACTAATAAAAGTCAAATTGCCCCTTGTCACACTGCCCAAACATATAATGTTCAATTATAAGCTCAAAAAGCTGCCTATAAAATTTTTGATACTGTGGCATGTTTGACAGTGAATTAATTTCAGATTTCACAAAAACAGAGGATAAAAATCAGGAAATGTTATTTTGAGTGTGATCTGTAGGCCTTCCTTTGAAGCCTGGTAGAAGAAGTAGAAAATAGCAAAAAGCTATTAAAGGAGATATGCAGGAAGGCCAATTATTATTATCATTACTATTATTATTTTGGCCTTTTCTATATGTCTATGCAAGAAAAGAGAATAGTTATCTTTGGAATAAACTTGTTATCCAAATATGGAAACAATAAAAGTGAAATGGTCAAAACTGTGGGTTGAGTGCAATGCTGACCTTAGCTGGGATCTGATGTATTGGTGCTGAGGTGCTACTGGCCAGCAAGCAAATAACAAGTGGAGCAAACTATCTACTCAAAGTCTTATCCACCAGCTGGCATCTTAATAATCTGCAATTTTCTGCAATTAGTTGATCTGTAATGTCACTGTGTTACCTCATTTTTTATTTTGTAAGCTCTCTCCCACAAAGACAAAAAGGATTTAGTTTCAGGCTAAATCCAACTGTAAACAGAAGAGTATAAATAATAAAAATAATAAATTCAATTCAACTTCTCTTGTGCAAGCCTTTCCCTATGGCAGATCAGTTCTTGCTTACTCTGCTTTCAGCTGAACACTCTTAAGGATATCAGTAAAACGCTGCTACAAGTGGCTAGAAATAGCAACTCAAAATTAGTCTTTATAAACTATAGCAAATAAAGCGTTTATCAATTGCAAATTTATTACTTCTAAGTTTTCAACATATTGATATTAGCTTTAATGAACAAAACTCACTGACATAATAATTCAATTAAGAGCTGAGTGAAATAGTAACGATATTGAAATGAATTATATTTTTTTAGGATGATAATATTTCCAGGCAAATGTGTAAACAATTATGAAAGCATATATACCATTATCCTCCACAAAATGGCAGTCATGCTCAACCTCTAGGTTATTTGTTACAGTACCTGCTTTATGTTGACAACCTCTCTTCCCAAATTTCTTGTGTGGTTTTAAGCATGCTATTCAGGACACTAGTACGCATTGCTATCTTTATGTTCCTAAATCCAATACTCAGACAGTGAGCATGTAACTCATCTCATATATAGTTGGCACTCTAAAAAATTGCTCTGTTAGACTTTCAAACTTCTACTAAAAAAGGAGGGCAAAAGATATTTCCAAATCAGTTGAAGTGTTTGCATGTAGACATCTAGTATTAGTGATATCAATCAGACTCAGGATTTGACTACAGCCCATAAACATGTATTTTCTGTATTAATATGACATTAAAATGAGGTTTAGGAAAAGGAAGAAAAGTACTGAAGTGTAGAAACAACATAATCACAACAGTAAAAGCTCTGATTTCCATTTCATATATAATTTCCTGGGCTTATACAGTAGCTCTGCAGCCTACATGGGGTTACTTAAATGACCTACCAGTTAAATGACCTACCAGTTTCTGTAGTAACTCTCTCTGGAGTTCTGAAACCACTGCATGTGTATAAAAAAACATGAAATACCAACAACAGCTCCAGTATTCTATCAATTTTCAGAGTTGATTTCAATCTTTTTTATGAAGATCTATGTTAGAAATCTTAGATCAAATCTAACTCTCGAGAACTTAAGTTTAGACCTGTCAGCCTTATTCAACCACATCTAGGTCAGAAAGAAGAAACCAAGCCTTGCATTCCTGAAGACAGCAATGAAACACAAAGGTATTCTTAAGTGAAGGTATGTTTAAACTGAGCTCAGAATTATGAATACAAAACAACTCAGTTGCATTTCTCCATACAGTTACTGGACACATGTAGACAAAATTAGATGCATTTGCCTTCCAATTAAACATTTTGTAAATAGCTTATTATAATATGTCTCAGAAACAAGCTAACAAGCAGGAAGCTTTTTTTTTTTAAAAGAAAAATTATTAAAAAGGGAGCTACAGAAATTCTGTTTACTGACATTTTAAAGAGTAATGCTGAAGTACAGTGCTCATTATATTGAGTTACACAGAGTTGACTGAGTGGCTGGGATGTGTGGAATAAATGGACCTGATGTTGTTGGTCAACACTTGTCTGAGACTGAGGTGGCCAAGAGGGCCAATGGCATCCTGGTTTATATCAGAAAAAGCATTGCCAGCAGAACTAAGGAGGATGTTGTCCCTCTGTCTTCAGATCTGGTGAGGCTGCACCTCGAGTACAGCATTCAGCTTTGGGCCCCTCTCTACAAGAGAGACACTCACGCCCTGGAGCATGTACAGCGAAGCTGTGAGGGAACTGGAGCACAAGTTTTATGGGGAGTGACTGAGGGAGCTGGGATTGTTCAGGCTGGAGTAGAGGAGTCTCAGGGGAGACCTTATTAACCTCTACAACTACTGGAAAGAAGGTTGTGGCAAAGTGGAGATTGGCTTCTTCCCCATCATAACTAGCGAGAGGACTAGAGAGAATGGCCTCAAGTTGTGCCAGGGGAGATTCAGTTAAATATTAGGAAAGAATTCTTCTCCAAAATTGTGGTTAGGCTCTGGAATGGGCAGCCCAGGGAGGTGGTTGAGTCACCACCCTCAGAGGTGTTCAAGAAATGTTTAGATGCTGTACTGAGGGACACAGTTCAGTGGGGAAATACTGGTGGTAGATAAACGGTTGGACTAGATGGTCTTGGAGGTTTTTTCCAACTTTGATGATTCTGTTTCTAGGAGTTAGTAATAGGGCACTATCATAGTGAACTTATGTAGAAAAGAGAGTTTGTCTTTCAAGACGTTATTGTTAACTCTGTGTCTCAGTGTATTTCTTTGCAGCACAGGTAACTGTCATTTTATGTTCCATTTAAGATGTTGAATGTCATAGAATCATAGAATCATAGAATCACCAAGGTTGGAAAAGACCTAAAAGATCACCCAGTCCAACCATTCACCTATTCCCAATAGCTCCCACTAAACCATGTCCCTCAACACAACATCCAGCCTTTCCTTGAACACCCCCAGGGTCGGTGACTCCACCACCTCCCTGGGCATCCATTCAGTGCCTGACCACCCTTTCTGAAAAGTAATACTTCCTAATGTCCTAATGTCGTGGAACAAAATTCTTACCTTCTCTCCTGACAGAGATTTTCACAGAAATACATTCTTTGTAGCAAATTTCCAACCCAGAAAGGACTTCCAGCATTTCTTCCAAATACTACTGGCACACAAAATTCCTCTTCTTTCATGTATTTCTTACTTTCTTATCTGGAGATGTGGTGGAATGAATGTATGGTCGTTAACACCATGGTGAACTGGAAATCAGACAGAAGAGGTTAAAAACTGTGAGAGAGACAAAGTGTGGAAGGAGACAAGAGCATAGAGTAAGGCCATACTCCTGTTTCCCCATAGCTATGGTGCTACATGGCTATCTCATAAAACATAAAACTCAAAGTACCATGTCTTTCCTAACGAACTGTTTGTACATTCAGCTGTTCTCCCTGAAGAGCCTGAACATGATTTTTGCCATTAGAGAAGAAATCTTTCATTGGCATCATGTTACATGTCAGTCTGTCCTCACTCATCTTTCAGTTCCACAACAGTGCCTGGGAAGAAGTCTTGTCTATAAATTTATCATTTTGATGAATCTAAATGAGGCGACCTTTAATCATAAAGTATATTTCCAAGTTTCCCAAAAATACAACAGTAACTCCCATCAGAGCTGTACTGTAAACAAAAAAAATGCGTCAATATATTTATTGCATTGGCACATTCACCTCTAGAAACCATATGCTCCACCTCTCTGCTAAAAATCAGCATCCAGAAAACAGCTTGAACACATGTATCTGGATTTCATTTTCATACAAAACACAAATGTATAGTCTCTCGTTTTAATGAAGTAATCTACAGTATATGAAAACACTGTAGTTAGCAACCTGTCATTGTATATCTAAGCAAGCAATTTTCAGAAGCTACTAGCTTAAATCATTACTCATGAGAGATTTTTTTTTCTCAGTGAGTGTTTGTGCTCTGCTTCAATTTGGAAATTTAATGTCATGATCCTAAGTATTTTCCCAGGTGCATTCCTTTGTCACTTTTTAAAAAATACAGAATTCTCCCTAAGAAAAGGCACTTGACAGTTTCAGAATAGAACATTCAGTGTGGATCTTTCTGTAATTCCTTCCAACTTTGCTCTTCTTTCAGCCTTCTGTAATCTGATCCAATGAAACTGACATAAACTGAATGCGCAGTCTGACTCCGATCTGTTCATTTCAGGAAGTGGCAGTATGAAGAACAGCTCTCCAGTTTTGAATCTCATAAAATTATCAGGATAGGAATTCACACATCTAATCCCAACCATTTTGTTCTGTGATGTAGTTTATTCCTACAAATGATTTTAATTTATCTACTCAGTGACATTTTCTCCAGTTTAGATATTATTGTTCAATTCACATAGAATAAAATACCAGAGGTCGAAGAAAAGGTTACATTCATATTGTTTTGTGTGTTGACATTTGGGACATTAACCTCAGTTTAACAGTGTTCTGTGCTAAAATGTCCGATATGACCCTACGTTACATTTCAGTCCTGGCACAGATTCAGCTATATATCTGAATTTCAAACATTACCCATAAGCACAAGCCTTTTACCTGTAGTTGACAGCTACATAGATAAAGAGGGAACAAGAAGACATGAGTGATGATACACTCAGCTTAAAAGAGAGGCACTGTACACAACAGCTGTTTTTTTTTTTCTAAGCTGAGATGGCAAGAACACTTCTAGAACTGAAATATGAAGTGGGATTCAAGTCCTTGAACTTCAGATGTATGATTTTTTTTTTCTGTATTAGAAGTTGAGGTGTTACAGACACCTACTACTAGGTTAATGGCCTGCGTACAATTTACAGTCAATGGAGAAAGATTGATATCTCTAGAATGCAATTTCTCTCATCCTAAGGCAGACGCCTGAAATAGGTAAGATAAATAATTCTTAAGAAAGGTCTGTTTCTCTCAATTTCCCTTCAGAGGAATCTAAAGCAGTAGCTCAAATATGGGCATTTAAAATTTAGGGAGATTATCCCATATATAGGTAGTGTTATTAAAATTTTTTTAGAGAGGAGAGGAGAGGAGAGGAGAGGAGAGGAGAGGAGAGGAGAGGAGAGGAGAGGAGAGGAGAGGAGAGGAGAGGAGAGGAGAGGAGAGGAGAGGAGAGGAGAGGAGAGGAGAGGAGACGAAAATGGGGGGGGAAGAGGAGGGGGGGGAGGAGAGTGGGGGAGAAGGAGAGTGGGGGGGAAGGAGAGTGGGGGGGGAGGAGAGTCGGGGGGAAGGAGGTGAGGAGAGAAGGGGGAGAGGAGGGGGGGGAAAGTGGGGAAGGAGGGGGGAGGGAAAGAGAGATGGGAGGGAGGGGAGGGGAGGGGAGGGGAGGGAAGGGGAGGGAAGGGGGGAGCGGAGGGTGGGGAGGGGAGGAAAAAAACTTGAAGAAATGTTGAGAAAACAAACAAACAAATAAACAAACAAAAAATAGCCTATGGGGTTAATAGAGAAGAGTCAGCATCTAGACTTTTCCCCCAGAGTTCAGGTGACTGTTAAAAGAAGAAAGAAATAGCTGCACCTATGATTTGTTTTGATGTTCTATTTTCTTTCTTCCATTGTCCAGTCCATGAAAGTTATGGAGTAAAAATATAATTTAATTTCAGAGAAAATACTTATGGAGTACAAGATGAGAAACTTGTTTTTACTCTCTCTTGGATGATGGATTTTGTCTGGTTGTTACCAGTCTCCTTCCCTCCTCCTGCCCCAGGTCTAATCCAACAGTATCAAACTAACTTTGTGAGCTAAAATTGAATGCTGCTGTTCTCAGAGGAGCTGCTGAAAAGTGGTGTTTTGATAAACACTGAAGGAATAGAACTCCCCAAAAAAATCAACTAACGAAAAATGCACGATGCTTTTTCATTTCTACTCCTTGCCAGAATTTTGATATGACTACGTCCATCAGGAATAGAAATCCTAGTGGTTCTACTTCTGATAATGCTTTAAGATGAGGGTCTTGCTATGATTTCTTCAATACTTAGTTCATGTAAATAAAATTTGCACATCAGAATCACTTTCCATGGTGGTCTTTTATTTTTTGCAGGCTAGTTTTGAGCCTGTAACCTTTAGAAAAATTCAAGGAATATATGTAGGTGAGTTTTTCTCAGCTGTTATTACATACCAAGCTACGTTGGTAAGGATCATGACCATCACCCTCACATTTTCTTATTGCTGCCACAGATGGCAAAGTAACTGCACCATCTAGCTTTCTTTTCAACCAGTGCCTGTGAAGATGGGTCAATAAATTCTGTTGTCCAAACAGTGCAACTCACTGAAATTGTTTTTGCAGCTTAATAGAGCACTCCACAGCAGGACACTAAGCCTGCACACTGCTGCATATGAAATACATATGCATATGAAATAAGAGTTGTATTTGAAACAACAGCTTTTACAGACCTGCCATTAGTGCAACAAGCCCTAATCCAAACTCAGGATTCTGAGTGTCAGTTACTAACTAAGACACTTTAAGCCTGACTTGCATGGTAAGCATTTCACAGTCAGACAAAGACTTTTGCTAAGATTTTCCTTTTCTGTTAAAATGATGAATTTTTTGTCAAAGGAGTAGCTCAGTACCTACGTAACAACTGATGGATTTATTTCAGCGTATGTAAAGGGCTGATTAAAAAAACCTTCAGGTCTTTTGAAATATGCACGGCCAGGAAGCACAGGACAAGCAGATCAATAGGATATAATGCCATGATACTGACAAAACAGAAAAAGGAAAAACTAACAACAGCAACAATAACAAAACCAGTTTTTGATCCTGTTTTTGACAGTTTGAGAGCCCCCAAAGAATTGCTCATCGGTGCAGTAGGGCACTGCTGCTTCATGTTAGGGATGCCACTAAATTGAGAGCCAGTTCAACATAGAGTGAGTAGTTTTCAATACAAAAATACAGACTGTTTCATATACTGCTAACCTAGTTTGCAGATCATTTTTTTAGAAGAACAGATACATGAGCAAGCTTGTCAGACTGCACACATTGTCTTGAAGTTCAAAATTACCACTGACATTACAAAGTTTATGCTCAAATAATTTCAATTCATTTACATATACTTCATAATGAAGTATATGTAATTACATATTATGCCACATGTTATTGTATAACATCATATTTTGTCCTTTATGCCGGAAGAAAGTGCAAAAATGATAACTACAAGGAAAAACAACAGGACAGATTATCTTCACCAGTGTTAGATTTCTAGGATATTATTTGGAAAAGCTCAATAATAAGTCTGATGCAGGAGTCTTAAAGATGTTTTTCTCACATGCATCCTCTATAGAAGCACCAACAGAAAACAGCACATTTTCTCAAAGAAGTTCTCAAAGAGCTCTTTTTTTTTTTTCTTTTTTTTTTTTTTTTTTTTTTTTTTTTGAGTTTGTGTAGCCAGGTGGATTTCACTTCTGTTGTAAAGGGTTAACATCAATAATCATGCTGACAATCACTCCACGAGTATCTAAAATGAGACTCTGAAACGCAGGACACTGGCTTCACAACTTCAGACTTTACTATCCAACTGCTTTCTAAGTGTAGAAATTTCATCATGTCATTTTGAATGACACATCATTGGAAGTGTCCTTTTTGGATGAAAAATATGGAATTCTGAATATTAGGTTGTGACATTCCAACGCAGTACAAGCTGGGGGGACATAAGGATAGAGCAAAGCTCTCTCAAAAAGGACCTGGGGGTACTAGTGGATGGAAAGCTGGACATGATCCAGCAGGGTGCCCTTGCAGCCCAGAAAGCCAACCATATCCTGGGCTGCATCAAAAGATGCATGGCCAGCAGGGCAAGACAGAGGAACCTGCCCCTCTACTCTGCACTGCTGAGACCTCATCTGGAGTACTGCATCCAGATGTGGAGTCCTCAGAACAGGAGGAACACAGACATGTTGGAGTGTGTCCAGAGGAGGGCCACAAAAATAATCCCGAGGTTGGAACACCTCTCCTAGGAGGACAGGTGAGAGAGCTGGGCCTGCTCAGCCTGCAAAAGAAAAGGCTCAGGGAGCCATGAGGAACCTGTTGGCAGCTTTTCAACATCTAAAGGGAAGCTATACGAAGGAAGGGGACTGACACTTCAGCAGGGTCTATGGCAATAGGACAGGGAGAAATGGTTTCAAACTAAAAGAGGGGAGATTCAGATTGGACATAATGAAAAAGTTTTTCTACAGTTAGGGTAATAAGGCAATGGAACAGGTTGCCCAGAGAGGTTGTGGAAGC